ATGTTGCTGTGGAGCACCAAACCTAATATTACAGAAATATGTTCCAAGACCAAGATCTTTGAATTTTTCAGTTGTTTGAAATTTGATATATAAACACATGTATGGATACTGACTGTCTCATTCCATAATGACAGACATTTGCACGAACGATCTGGGATTTACCTTTGACTCGAATGCTCCTGAGCACAAAAGATAGTTTTGTGTCACTGCAATGAGGCTACAATTTGTGTGGGCTTACCAAACGTGGACAACAAAAACATTGCCTAAACTGATGAGTCTCAGTTTGAACAGCACAAAAGCACAGATCTATCCTGCCTTATGTCAACAGCTCAGTGTTGTAATGGTGTGAAGGATATTTTCTTGGTAGACTTTTGGCCCCTTGGTTACAATAGAGCATGATACACAGCCTGCCCAAGTATTGTTGCTGACCTTCTCAATCTCTTTACGACTGCAGTGTATCCATCTTCTGAAGGCTGCTTCCAGGAGGATAACACACCCTGTCACAAAGCTAAGATCATCTCAAACTGGTTTCTTGACAGTTCACTGTACATACGTGGCCTCCACAATCACCAGATCACAATCAAGTAGAGCAGCTTTGGGATGTGGTGGAAGGGCAGATTTGCATCATGAATATGCAGCTGACAAATATGCAGGAACTGTGTGATGCTTTCTATTTGGACCAAAATCCTCGAGCAGTGTTTCCATCGCCTATCCAACAAAGAATTTAAGCAGTTCTGAAGAGAAAACAGGGTCTAACCATATACTAGCAAGATGTACCTAATAAATTATCTGATGTAGGTATCTTGTATATCTGTATAAAAGCTGCTAATAACTTTGTGCTAAGTAATTAAGGTTTGTTTCTTACAAAATACTTACAACCACATATCTTTTATACTAGTTTTGAACCGTGCTAGTTTTGTCAAGCCACTTTTTCAGATGCAGTGTAGTCATGCATGCTCTTGTGGTCAAATATTCTTTTCTGGATCATTTAAACGTGATTATTATGGATGGGATATTATATATATTCTAAATATATACTTACTTGTTATTAACAAAAACTATATACTTTTCTTACAGGCTATCGGTCCTTAATTTTGTATGTGCAGTCAAAGACTGACGTTCCCACCACAGTGCTGTGTTTGTCCTGCTCTAGTTGAAGCTTTGGCAACAAGTAAGCTGACTGCTTTAATGAGGTATGTCGCAGTCCTGCTTACTTGTGGGTCACAGTGGTTCACTGTTTAGAGACATTAGAAAGTTTGTGAGCGCCATAGGCCTGCTGCTGTTCATTGCACATTGCTCAGCCAGCTTGCCTGCTGCATGTTTTGTGACGTCACCTAAGACCTCCCACACGCGGAAAAGCTCACTCTCTCCCCGCCGCTCTCCCGGAGAGAGAGTGAGCGAGGGAGAGTCTGCATGGCTTCGGTCCTCGCTGTGTTCCTTGCTTCACTTCGACAGTGTATTGAGTGGTTGTGTTTGAGTAATTCCAAACAGGGTTTCTTTTAGACACAAGGACTACGTCTTAATGTCGTTACACTGTTGTTGATGTTTTTTTTTTTAATCGTTTTTACCTCTCTGACGTTTTACATCGGAGCTTAGTAGGCAATGATTCCAGGTAATGTCGTGTCACGGACTTTCCTGTAATCCTGTCCTTCCACGGAGTTTTAGAGGGGAAACAAATCTACTTCATGCATGTACTTTAATAGTTTTAATAGTCTGCTATCCTGGCCAGTCCACATCTTCTTTTATATTACTGCTACGCGGAGATTCTGTGTCTCTCTGTTGCTGTCTTTGTACACTTTAATTATTGCTAGAATATATTTATAAATAATAAACGGCAAACGGTCTAAAATGAAATTAATAACTTTATGGTAACGTCGTGAATAGCTCCCAAGCAGTTTGTATATAGGCCCAAAATAAAGTAGCGTTTACACCATAGCCTTAAAAAAAACTGAAGGTGCGCATTTAGGAAAGTTGTTTAATTATATATTTCATATTTAGTTTAGCCGCATAAATCAGCCCTAATAATGAAATGTGTTCTTCCTCGCTTCATCACAACAAGTCGGCCCAGCTCTGTAATCCTACAAGTCCAACATAAAGTATTTCCTCGCGAGATGTAAATGGTTGTATTTGCATGCGGAGTGATTCATAAACATGTCAGTGTTATGAAATATATGGGGGATATTAAAACTTTCTATTTAAATATCATGAATTATGGTCGCAAAAATGTGTTCCCATTTAAGAGGAATGCCGAGTATTTTGGTGTCTGGTGCAGAAGCCCATTCGTCATAGGGACAATAAAGAGGGTTTTCGCCTGACAGTGAAAATTTATGGTTGCCCTTCTTTGCCCTAATAACTCACATATTGTGTCACGGACTGACATCCCTTGCAGAAAATACCAAGCCTGTTATCAATCACACATCTTTGCATATTGTGAAACGTCCCCCCTCTTCTTTTCTGCAAGAAAGAAAAAAAAGAAGACTGAGAACATTCGTAGAAATAGAGATCCGCTTACTTGGACTTTTTCCTTCCTCCCTCTCTTAGAAACACACATATTACGCTGAGAACAACATATCTTATTTAGAAGTCGACATCTATTTATATTGCATGAGATATGTAGACAAGATAGAGAAGATAGTTATTAATTTCTTTATTAGTGCACCTTTAACAAAGTTGAAATCAGTTGTGGGCCTATAAGGTAAAAACTTTTTTCCTATCTGTCTTTTTTTTTTTTTTTATTAGTCTTTTGCAAGTTTGCTCTGTAAACGTTTTATTATATTCACTCCAAAATGTAACTAATTAAAAAAATATGGGACTCGAAAAAAATGTTTTTTTTTATTTTGCATTTTTATTTTTCTCAAAAATAAAAATAAAAATACAATTCAGTAAAAATAAATAAAATAAATATAAAAATATTTTGCAGCCTTGACTGTCCACTCCAGGTTTTCTTGCTCTCCGTGTTGACCTGTCAAGCAGATTACCACAGAAAGAGATTAATGGCAGAGGCGGGTTGCAATAATAATCGTTTTGTTTGATGTGACAACTTTGATAGGCGTTGATTTACTTACAAACTGATAGGCTTTTAATTGAGCGCCTCCATCCCGATTTAGATGAAAGGAAAACCACATTGAAAAGCTGCCCGATTGCCCCGCAGCCTCAATACTGATTAGCCATCTCAGCGGTGAATAGTTCAAGGCATTTTAAACTTCTTTTCTCAACGGCCTGACAGACCATTTCTCTTCTTTTCTTTCTCCCGGTCCGCGTTTCTGCCCGTTAAAGAAAATAAATCATTTCCATTGTATGTAAATAAAATCGAGCTGACATCAATATAAACTGTCTGGATTTCTTTCTCTCTTTTTTTTCAGTCGTCTTTGTTGTTCTTGTTGCAGATGACAGTGTGCCCGAGGCAGATGACAGGTTTTAACAACACAATGGCAGATGCGTTTAGCCCCCCCTCCCTAAAATAATGGACATGGTTCTGTTTTGAGAGACCGCAGTGTGTGACCGGGTTGTTACACATTTGAATTATTATTAAATCTTGTAAATAGTTATACTGCGTCCATGCTATCCAAGAGAGAATAGAGGCTATACATATAGATAGATAATGGGAATATGAATTCTACATCCCTGCACTGTTTATTTAACTTTCCGTTTTGTGTGTGTAATTTTTTTTAAACCCAGGATTTTCTGTCCATTTGTTTACTTCGTGCATTTTCGATAGAGCACGTGTTTTTTTTCTTTCTTTTCCCCCCTACGGCTCTTTCTTTGCTCCGTGATCCACCGATTATAGCAAAAAGCCGTTTAACACTATTAAAAACCAAAAGCTTCTCCGTGGATATCAAGAGCTGAACTGCAACTTATTAAAGTTTCATCGTGTATACCACCACCGATAAGTTTTACGAAGAACTCCAAAAGTTGCCGATTTTATTTAATAAGTGGCTGATATGGAGTGAAATCAACGGCTTTGACTCTGATACCCTCCCACGTCAACGCGGGCTTGTTGGCTACCGTCGATGCATCTTAAAAATTAAACCTTGACACGAGAATCAATTTATTTCCTCTGAAATCTTGCGTGTCTCTTGCAGAATGTCTCCCTGTCTCTCCCTTTCTCTTCCCCCCCACTTGTTCTTTTCCCGCAGTCGCACTGGCATGTAATCAGCCACAATAGCTGACATAAATCAAGCAGTGGATTGACAGCCTCTGACAAATAACTGATTGATTGCGGTGGAGCAGAATTGACACTTGACGGAGGGGTGGAGATAGAAATAGAAGGGCGGTGTATATTATACTGAAAACATGTGACATTCACATCCCTCCATCACTACATTGGTCTATTCCTGTCAACGCTTGTCTGTTTAGGGAATTCGAGCTGAAGTGGTTGGTTTTATGGTTGCTGGTGGAAAGCAGTCCCAGTGGCGGACGGTCGTAAAATGCGCGAACTTTGTGCGTCTCTCAGGTTGCGAACAGTCGGAGGAAAACGAACAAAAACACTTGTTAATGTAATGACAGAATCAGATGTGATAATGATTTTATGATGGACACTTTAAAAGCTTTTAATGAAGAAGAAAAATGTTAGAAATATATGAAAGCGCTCATGGAAACCAGTGAAGAATCATCCCTTCTGAAATCTAGATTAAAACCAATGTGTAGTGAACATTAAGTAAATAATTTAAATATCCACTGAAAACAGGACGAATAAACTGAGTCCCATTTATCCCCTCGCCCCTGAACAAAACTTGAATATATCAAATATTAGATCAGATAAATGGATGATCCAGAGTAGAGCGACTATGTTTCATGATTGTTAAACATAATAAGTGTATGGATCGTTCTTTTATGGTGTTATTTACTCACTCTTCTGCACGCTGTTGTGTCCTTATCGCCACTATTTGTTTCTCTAACTTGTAAGCGTTCACATTAACCAATATATTTAACGCTATCTCCTCCCCCGAGCTGTCAAAATAGAGGCGCTTACAAAGAGGAGAACGTCACATCCCCTTGACCCTCCAATCACCTCAGGGTCCCATTTGATTGGAAGGCGGCAAAGGCTTTAATCTCGGACTAATTCAGCTGCTTTTGAAGTGAAAATTTCTACCAGTTCGTACTTCGGGAGTACAGAGCGAGGACCTGCACACAGACGCACACACAGGCGCAGCGCTCATGGTGCAAGACGCAGACACGGATCTGCGATAACCTCGCACCGTCTCCTTCCAGCTGCCGCGCCTTTTGCTCCGTTACTACCAGGATTACCGATTATTGAAGCGTTTTCCGATTCTTTTTCTCACCCCACCCCACGGCAGAGAGGCTCGGTGCTTTTTTTTCTCTCCACCCAAATCTTTCTTAATGAATCTGTGGAAAGCAGCGTCACTACATTTCTTGACAATTGGGACATGATCACATCGCCCTCGGCGTCTGCCTTAAAAAATAGTGATATTTGTGTAGCGTGGGAAAGCAGCAGTTCTCGGAATAGAGGCTCAGCGAACGTCAACAAGCCTTTTCTCCACTCCGCACCTCCGTCTGATCCACTACGGCAAGCGAACCGTCTTCCCATCAAGGTCTTGAAAATGCTTACCGCACGGTCGGGACACATTTTGCACCCGGAGTATCTGCAGCCTTTGCCTTCGACCCCTGTCAGTCCTATAGAGGTAAGCGTGGATTGAATTTGTTTTTAGGGAATGCTGTTTCGTGTGAAAACGTCCTGGGAGTCTGTTCCTGTTATTCTCTGAAATCGCCTGTCCTGTTCCAAGTGTGGCTCCAGCGTTTAAAGCGGTTATTTATATATAGATATGTATGTAACACATATATGTGTTTGGTTTATCTTTTGGATTATTTTTAGTGTAGTTTTGTTCAAGAAAGACCTCTAAATAAATAATTACACCTATATATTCGCTTTAAAACACCAAGGAATATCCCGATTAAACGTTCGCCCCCGGGACTGTACTCAAAACAAAGCTGCAGATATGCGTATTAATAGTATTTATCAATCTTTTTATTTTCTTCTTTGCAGCTAGATGCCAAGAAAAGTCCGCTGGCTCTGCTGGCGCAGACCTGCTCTCAGATCGGCAAACCGGACCCGCCACCCTCCTCCAAATTATCCTCCGTAACCTCAAATGGATCTAGTGAGAAGGAATCTAAATCGGGCCCTTTGAAACTGAGTGACATTGGTGTGGATGACAAATCTAGCTTCAAACCTTATTCTAAACCTTCAGATAAGAAGGACTCGTCTTCGGGCGTTTCAGGCGGAGAGAAGTCTGGTTTCCGAGTGCCGAGCGCCACCTGCCAGCCGTTTACACCGCGGACAGGCAGCCCCAGCTCCAGCACTTCAGCCTCCCCTATGCCATCGGACGGGAAATGTGGGGAAAGGGATGAAAAGAAAGAGTCTGATTGTAATAAAAATGGCTCTACGGACGGCTCTGGCACCACTAGCCACAGCAGGATAAGCGTGAGTTGTGGTGGAATTAACGTGGAGGTGAACCAACACCAGGAGACGACGCCTGGCAGTAAAACCACCTCCTCTTCGGAGTCCTCATCTGTTACTTCTGTATCCTCCGCATCCGTTCTCGGGTCAGGACTTGTGGCGCCGGTTTCTCCTTACAAACCTGGACAGACAGTTTTTCCTTTGCCTCCTGCTGGTATGACATACCCAGGTAGCTTGGCTGGGGCCTATGCTGGCTATCCTCAGCACTTCCTTCCCCACGGAGGGAGCTTGGTAAACGCACAGCTGGCCAGTTCACTGGGCTGCAGTAAGGCTGGATCCAGCCCCTTGGCTGGGGCTTCTCCACCGTCCATCATGTCAGCCAGCCTGTGCAGAGACCCTTACTGCCTCAGTTACCACTGTGCCAGTCATTTAGCGGGCGCGGCCACCGCTTCCTGCACGCACGACTCTGCAGCTGCAGCTGCCGCGAACGCCCTCAAGTCCAGCTACCCACTAATGTACCCGTCACACCCCATACACGGCGTTCATTCCTCAGCGCCATCATTTAGCGGACACCCCCTGTACCCATACGGTTTCATGCTTCCCAACGACCCTCTCCCCCACGTTTGTAATTGGGTGTCGGCAAATGGACCGTGCGACAAGCGTTTCTCCACCTCGGAAGAGCTCCTGAATCACCTGAGGACACACACTGCTTTTACTGGGGCTGAAAAGTTGATATCCGGTTATCCCGGGTCGTCTTCGCTGGCCAGTGCTGCAGCAGCAGCCATGGCCTGCCATATGCACATGCCACCGTCAGGACCCCCCGGGAGTCCCGGGACTTTGGCTTTAAGGAGCCCGCATCATGCGTTAGGACTCAGCAGCCGCTATCATCCGTACTCCAAAAGCCCCCTGCCAACCCCCGGTGCCCCTGTTCCTGTCCCCGCAGCCACCGGCCCTTACTACTCCCCCTATGCACTGTACGGCCAGAGACTCACCACAGCATCAGCGCTTGGATATCAGTGAGAAGAAGAAGAAAATAAAAGACTGAAAAGTTTATAGTACTAAGAATGCAAATATAAAGACTTTTATATTAAGTGCGCTAAACTTAAGGGCGGGATCCGTGGACTTCAACTGTATTTATTTATATGTCGGCTTAAAAGCAGGCGGTAATATCTGCAAATGGAAAAAAAAAATATTTGAGCAACTCAAAAAGTGCATTATGTTGAAGCTGAACTAGTTAAAGTGAAACACACACATACACACATATGTTAGAATACTAATTAAAGTAGGGGTCTTCATTTCGATGTTAATTTGGAATTGCTATGATTGTATTTGTTCTTATTTAATGTCTCATTGAGAAGCAGAAAAAAAATTTACATGCATGTTTGTTTCTTAAATTTCAGAAATTGTCCACATTTTAAATTGCCGTTATTTTTCAGGTGTTCACCATGGACAGAGAATTGGTATTTTTTTGTATGTATTCTGGAAAAAAAATAAGAAACAATTCTGTTCCATATCTCCGTGTGCCTCATTTTCTGACGAGAGTCAAATTTATTTTACACTGACATTTAAAAAAACAAAACAAAACATTGGGCTCTTAATTTTTTTAAAAATTGGGGTTAAGAAAGCCTGATTGGGTCATTTAAGCCGACACTGGCCTATATTTTCCGGCTGTCATCGAAACAATTTAAATCGTGCAAAACAACAAATGTTTTCAGTTTTCTCACATGACTCATAATCTTTCTTTTTTCTTTCTTCATTATAAACGAAACTTGGGAGCTTTGAACATCACATTTTAGATGACTTGAAACTTGAATTAAAGTGTGAGTGTGTGTGAGTGTGTGTGTGTATGAGGGAGGGTAGAACCGGCTTTATACAGGAAATCATTCGAGATAAGTTGGGTTGCTTGTGAGTGAATTTTGTCAATACGTTGTTTGACGGGGTGTGACATGTTTTGTGGAGTTCGCTTGCGTAATGTGTGTGAAATACGCCCAAAATGCTCGATAAGGACAGCTGATTTTTCTACGGTTTATAAAAATCAAGAGCATGTGTGTTTTGAAATGCTAAATTAAAATTAATCTATATTAAAACAAAAATCAGTTTTACAACCTTAAAAAAAAAGACGGCAATTGAAGTAAATCAATCCCTGGGTTTCAAATTTAATGCACTATAAATTTTTGCAATCGTTGCCTCTTTAAAAAAAAAACAATAAAAAGAAATGAAGTTCTAAGCACAGAGGGAGACTCTAAGAAGGTGACATTTAAACGTGGAGCCTAATAACTGGTGTATTTTTGACTGGATGACCATTGCTAGGAGGATATTATTTATTTTGCGTTTGATAATCTGACCCACCTTGTGCATCTATTGTATACGCCACTATATTTGTAATTAAAAATACTCTGACTTGTGCAAAGTTGTGGGGTTTTCATACAGATGCAAACACTCACAACGCGTGTCTTGGATCTGAGAAGGCCAGGCGCATAAACGAAATATTTAAAAATGTAACACTTCAAAAATATCATAGTTCAGGTTTTTTTTCTTTTTGGGCATTAGAGCTTATTCGGTTTATGACGCCCATATATAGATTTACTTGCATAAATCTATATATGATTCACTTGCATTTGAACTTTCATGTGTTATAATTCCTATTTTTGGATAAAAACTTTACGAATCAAAGTCGGTGTGCCGGGGCTATAACTGATTTCACACAGACACGACTGATTAGTTATAGTAAAATGGTTTGTAGCCCAAATTACAAAGAATGGCCTTTACGTGCTGTGTGCTTGCTACCGTTTACTCCCAAGCATGAGCGTTATCTTTCAGCTCCCTTGGACATTCCGTTGACCCAGCTCTGTTACAATTACCACTGTTATTATCAAGAATGCCTCCTCAGCTATGCTGTCCCTTGCCTATCGCGCAGCGGTTTGTCAGACATCAAAAAAAAAAATCTCTTGGTGTATATAAGGCCCACACGCGTCCTAAACTGATGTAATGACGGTGAAAGGGAGCAATTTCCATTTTTACCCACATCATGGTGGCTGTGCTCGGAGGTCCCCGGTGGAAGGCAATTTATCATGTGCCCCTCCCCCTGGCCCTGTCACTAGAGGAACAGGCAGGCACATGTGTGCATGAATTACCAACCCTCCCACCTCCCCAGGACCCCCCCCCCCCACCTCTCTCTCTAGCTCTCACTGTGGAGATTTGACACAGAGGAAAGAGAACATGGGGGATTAGAGCATGCAGAGTATTAAAGTACATATTCACTTTGTCCATCAAGGCCTAAAAGTGCTTAGGTGTGCGCTGAGCTCTGCAGAACAAAAGGAATCCATGAAATTACAGTACAATAGATTCAGATATGCACTTTACATCAGAAATACTTAAATAAAACATTTCACTAATATTTTACTTATTTGACAGTGATCCAATTAAGCACGTTAATAGTCCCGTGTGGGCCTTGATTCAAAACAAGGGTCAGATTAAACTCTTAATTTAGCCTCTTATACATTAGGTTGGTCAAGAGTGGCTCTAAACTAATGCACAGTGTGGCAGCTGGAATAAAAACGTTTGGGTTTTCCTATTGTGGACATTTAAAAATAACTAGCAAGTGATTCCTTACTGAGGAAGACACCGGGTTGCATCTTTTCCTCAACTAAAAGACATGCAACCTTGCTGAAGTCGACCTTAGAGCTCTGCTTCTGTGGGGTCAGGTCAACTATATCGATGTTCGCTGTCCAAACTGCAATCTAACAGGAAAACACCCACTCAAAATATTTCCAACATGTAAAAAGCATGAAAAACATATAGCATGCTTTTTTCTAGTTTTAGACCTAAAGCAGCCATTTTAGATTCTTGGGACATGCTTTGCATCCTCAGAGAGAGAGGGAGCAACACTGCAGGAAAACCTGGCTGGACATCTGGCAACAGGGGGAGCCCAGGACGTGACTCACACACCTAACCCCATATTCAACCCCACTGAATTACCACCACTAAAGCTGTCATTAGTGGGTGTGTGGAACAATATAAAGACATGCCGTAGTCTGCAGTGGCAAGTCTATAGTTTGGGTAACAGCTGTGTCAATAAGGAGAAGCTGCTATAATGTTCAACCCCATGCCAGACATAAGTCAAAAAGCAATTATTATCTTTTATGTATGTGTGGTCATTTCATCAAGCTGTGATTATAATGTAAAAGCTCTCTGTGATAGGAAGAAAAGGGGCCTATCAATAATGGTTAAGCAGCCATTGCAGATAACTTGCAGTTATGCTTTGCAAGTATAGATTGCTACTTTTCAAATACATTTTGATTATACACCTGCTTCTCAGGTACAGCAAAGGCCTGGTATTTGTTACCAGCTTTCATGTGAATATAGTACTTGACATTACATATACCTATACAGCTCATCTACACCTTAGCACTCTAATTGTAGCTAAAGGTGTCATAAGCTGGAACAGTTGACTGTGGTTATCTCGGGGTGTGATTTATGGATATATGGGCTGTTCAGGTGTCCACGGCTTTGCGATTGTTGTAATGAAGCCATAAACTAAGCAGCATGACACAAAGCAGAGACAGTGGTTATAAACAGATCTACTGTTTCAGGTAAATCTATACTAAATCTGCCTATTATCCAGAAGATTAAAAAAAGGAAAAGAAAAATCAGCATCGTCGTTGGTCACGTGTCATATCCATCAAAGCTAAAGCACCCTTTTCTGACAGATTGATCCTAGAATGCAGTCCCCAACTGAGAGCTATAATAGAGGTAATTTGGTTCTCAAAAATCTGTGCCAAGGCAGACAGGAATCCCTCCCAGCACTTCTAGATGTGGTTACCCTCCTCATTGATTTACAAATGTAAAGTGCTCATCCAGGTGATGTGAGAGAAGTGGCAGTGTTGATCTATCTGTGCCACTCAGATCTCTAACCAGTGAGACACTTTCTTGTGCTTAGACAGCCTAATTGAGGTCATTTCTGTCCGCTCTGGGATCTACAGTGCGCCGGGGTGTTTTAGTGTTCAGATAATTTGCCCATTTTCTGATTCTGACAAAGAATATTTTATGGAAATGCACCCTTATTCCAGGCACCTTAATGGAATATGTTGGAGTAGTATGTGGGCTGATGAGGCTGTTGTGTGCCACTGATAAATGTGAAAAACAGAGAAAATGTCAGGGATGGGCTCAGCTCCAAAGGACTCTTTGCCTTCATTTGAAATTAGCAGTGCCTAAGTACTATGTCTTTAGGGAGTCACAATGCACAGCCACAAGGTTGTTCGCATAGTTTGAAACTGCACAGTAAAGCCTTCATATGTTTTTTTTTGTAGGAACCCAGTCAATTATAAGCGCTATGTTTCTTAGCTGGACTTTAAGACATTTTCTTTCAAAGTTTGAATTTTTTAGTATTTTTTATTTACTTTAATGCTTTGAGGTTTCAGTCTACCACATAATTGTTGCCTTCTTCTTTTCTCCCTTTTTCTATGAGTAAACCCTGATTATTTTAAATGTTAAATTTCGCTTCCATGGGTGTGGCCTGCCAATGACCATGAGTCACATGCTTACTAACGGTATAAATCTAGGTCTGGGTTATTATGGGATAGAGATATAGTTATTAATCAATCCACTCCTGTTTGATGCCTCCTGATAAGGAGTGTACATAACTCATAATAAGCAGCAGATACAATGTAGGGGTTGATGTTTTTATGGAAATCTGTTTCCATAAAAAGTCATGCTGTTTAAGTTAGGCCTACATGGATACTTCTGCTGTATCATCAAAAGCAACATAAAAAGGCTCGCAGCACAAACCCGTAAAACTGGGTGCCACCCATCCTGTAAATGCTTTAAGTGTAATCCACAGATCTGCTGACTTAGCAGTGTAACAAAGTGGTTATACACACATCCATCACTGATACAAATAATCCCAAATAATTCCAGTAGACGTGGGCTGCAAATACTTTCACTGTCATCTCAGTTTGAATATATTTTAAAATAATGACAACCTTAAATAAATGAATAGCAACGCCCTTTACAAATATTATCTTAGTTTTTTTTAACTGAGAGAAATTGTATGAAAAATATAAGTACAAACAATTAACATCAAACTAAATTTATATAATTGCATTAAACATATATTCTTATCACAAATTACAATAAACAAACACTGACTTTTAGAGTTACTCTAAAAGCTGCCATTGTGACAAAAACATTTATAAATATGAATAAAACTGAGAAGTGACTTTGCTTTACTACATTTGCTAATTTTGCATGAATAATTTTTTTTAGCAGCCCTCCCTTAAATAAATACGACTAAAATACAAGCTAGTTTCAGAGAAAATCAAGTTCTGTTTGCTGATATATGTGATGATGCAAGTTAAAGAAACCAACCTGAAAATAGTTTTTTGTAAAATCGACAGCACAATTAAAAATAAAAAAACAACAACCCACCAACACAGCACATGGCTAGATAACCTTTTCACACTGCTGGCTTCGAGAAAGAGTGTGACTTATTTGGCTTTATGACTTGTTCTTTGGTGGAAAATCTTACTCCATAGGTGTCGCTATTGCTTGATCCACCTACACATAAAAGCTACGGGCTGGGTGAAACAAGCTCAAGCACATTCTCAGAGGGATTATCAAAGAAACTAACAAAGTGAAGTGGGCGTAGATTGAGTCAGTTAAAAGAAAGTGTACTCAACCAAATGTTACATTAGAAAACTTCATCACATTGCTGGCAGTGGTCTCCACGGGGTTTGGCAGATGGTGGGGATTGGCTGTCAGTGGTGTGGAGTGGCTGACTTTCCCTCCCCTTTATGTTTTCAACGGTACATGAGTCTGTTAAGTT